ATGCCCCGGTTTTGCCAAGGGCTCTTTTTAAATTTGTTATCATCTCCTCATGGGAGGGGAAAAAAAAAAATCTTTCATCCTCTTTTTGAGCAATTGCAATCAAAGAAAAAAGCACGATTAACCCAGGATCGCTCTAAAATCATATTTGTGTCACCACTTGACCAAAGTCCCAAACTAAACCAATTCTCCAAACAAATAATGATGGCTTTAATATATACATTTAGCAAATGCAAGGATTTTGCTTTGCTATTAAAGTTTAATTACTAATTAATATTTACACAGCAATTGGCTGGAATTCTGCAAGTTACATAAATAAATATTAACTTGTAGATGATTTAAAAAAAATGTATCTGAAATTTATTTGTGTGACTCTTTATTACTTATTCATTAATTCATGTAGAATTCCAACTCCTCTTCCTTCCAGATGGAGTGGGAGGGAAGAAGGGAGCTCCCTTGGGACTGATGTGCATGGTTTTAATTCTCAATTTAGTCTCCATCACTACAAATTAAACATTTAAAAATTCTAAACAGGGTGTTTAGCAATACTGGCATGTTCAAATCCATCAGCCTGCAAAAACTGGCATTTCTTTAGGTGTGTAATAGTACAAGTTGAGAGCAATATACAGGACCTGAGCAGAAAGGCCACCTTTTGTGTTGTGCTTTTGGCCAGTGAAGGAGTCCCTGCATCTAAACTCTCACTGAGGTCAGCGGGTGCTTCGCTTGCTCCAACGTATGGGTTAGAGGAAAAATCAAGGACTGAGGCTGTAGCAAGTTTCTGAATTTTGAGCAATGAAAATACCAAAGGAGTACCTTCAGGGGGTTATTTTGCTATTAATTTTTAGCATGCCATCAAAAATTTGAGGGCTTCTAATTGCGGAAATACCTGACTGGGGAATTCAGGCTGTTGAGAGCAGCCCATCAGCTTGGCTGTGCAGATGGCCCAGTTGCACACCCATCCCAAGTGCCACATGTGTGCTTGCAGCCCAGCCTCAGCCACCGTGCACAGAGGAAGCATTGCTGCTGGTTCTGGGGCCCTGGTTACCACCTCTCCGTCATCCTGCTGTCTCTGGCTGGACATATTTTGGCAAACAACCCTTGCTACACTTCGCCTGGCTGCCTGCAACAGTGACGGCTGAGGGGAGGTGGTTGCACAGGTCCTGTGAACACTGGAGAGGGAGAGAGGAGCACCAGCTAAAAAGCACAATCATGGACCAGCTCCAGTCTCTCTGTCTCAGTATTTAAAAGCAGAGGATTGGGACTGGTTTATTGTCCCCCTTGCCTGGGCCATTGCCAAAGCCCAAGTCACACATGATTCTTCTTCCCAAGGTCCCCATAAAGCTCTGATGTGTGATAGCTCTCAGGAGCCCCTGATTCCCACAAGGTAAATATCAACTGAAAGAGAACAAATTGTATATGCTTATTACTGAAGGGACTAATTAAACAGTGAGAGAACAATCCTTGGGAACAAGCAGTGATGCAAGGGAGGTACAAGTGCCCCAGTGACACTGTTGGCCTCATCTCGCAGCTCCAGGACCACATGAGGAGCAGAGGAGGAGAGAGACAGCACTATGGCACATCTGGACAGCAGGATTGTCTGCTTAACACAAGTGCAGCACAAAAATACTTGGACAAGAGATCTGGGGCAAATACCTGAGAGACCATGAGTCTTTTTGCAAGTGTGTGTGCACTGCCTCCCTCCTGGATGGATTTGGGATTGAAGGACTGCTGCAGCCTGGCTCTGTGGGGCTAGGATGTGAGGAAATCTTAGGGTCTAAGATGAACCAATGTCAGGCAGGAAGGAGAAACCTTCTGAGTACTGAAAACCAGCAGATCTGACTTTTCTTAGTGTGGATATCTGGCTGTGGCCAGATCATTAAGGCAGCCTTTTAGAGCCAGAGAAGTGGAGTGAACACAACTCAGCCTTTCAAAGATCAGAAGAAGCAAAGAGGCTACATACATCTTAAATCTTTCCAGCTGTCATGGTCCAAGGGATGTCTCCTTTAAGCATCTCTCTGCTGTTTTTTCTGAGCTAAATTTCTGAGCTAAATGCAGTAATTCCAAGTAGTCACCTCTAAAGGTGCTACCTTATGAACACAGGCTTGTGCAACCTTAAGACCTCAATAATTGAAGTCTATAAATTTTTAAGAAACAGAGATTCTTCCAGTTTAAACTATGCTGTATAAGTTTTCTGATAATCACACAGCACCACAGGGTAGGACATTAGAAAGGAGAGCTGGGGAGAATTAAGGGATGATATTGGCAAGCTTTTAGGGTGAATTTTGCACATCTTCTGAAGTAAGTATTAAAACCCACAGTCAGCCATTCAAAAAGCCTGCAGAGATCAAAATCCTAGCAGCTAAAATGATTTATCTCTGCTCCTAGAGGAACTTAAATAAATTGAGGTGCTGGCTTATACCCACAGCAATCCCCAAGGCACTGACAGCCCTCACTTCATTTTTAACCTACAAGGAGAGGAGTTCCTAAAAATATCATCAAACTATCCACATTTTCTTGCAATCACTTGCAGTTTGTCTCTGTAGTTGAAGAGGATTGATGTCTCCTGGCTTGGGAGGCTCACCAGGGTAGTGTTAGTGTTGCAGCATACCAGGAGCAGAGAACTGTTTATCTTAATCACTTGGCTGCTGCCTGGCACAGCCAACTCCTCTCTCTGTGCTGCTGCATTCAGGAGCTCTGTGGATCCAGACACAGCTTTATTTCCTGATTTTTCCATCCCATTTCATCAAGGCAGTGATGGCTGGAAACACTTGTTAGTAGCACAATTTCAGCCTCACACTACCTGAATTCTGCTGATAAGATTAAGCTATAGTCCAAGACCTTATTGGTTTATATTTCACAGCTACCAGGCATCTCCTAGAAAGCAGTTTCAATGCTGTGTGGTTTCCGTCTATTACAACTGGGTTGCCAATAAAAATGCAAAAGTACCTTAAAACAATGCAATTTGAGGAAATGTCGCAGAAATTCCATCTAGGTCTGTAAAAGAGTTTATATATTATGGTGCAGGAGATAGCAAAGCTGTAGTGTTATTGAGCCACTTAAAGTAATATCCCTTATTACTGCAGAGAGCCCACATTAGTCCAGGATTTCATGTGGGCTGACAACAGTTCCAGCTTCACTCTATCCCGCACCAGCAGTTTGCTCCAAAGACAAGGGGTCTGCCAGCATGGATTTGCCAGCTGGAACTTTGGAACGGCTGCAAAACTCTTTCTAGGGGATAGGAGAGTCAAGGCACCTCTTTTTTGCTGGAGTACAAAGCCAGCCCTACAAGGCTGGGTTTTCTCAGCTGTGCTGTCTCTGCTGTCATCCTTAATCACAGCTACTGGGTTCTTGCTCCTATTTTTCTCTAATTTTTTTTTTCTAAATATTTTTGTTGCTGTTTTTTGGTCAGGTTTGGTTTTTTGTTTTGTTTTGGTGGTTTGGGGTTTTGTTGTTGTTGTTGTTTGGGTTGGTTTTTTTTTCGTGGGACTGCTTTTTTTTGGGTTGGGTTGGGTTTTTTTCGTGGGGCTGCTGCCTCCTGGAAACAGAAGGCTGGAAATCTCTTCTGCCTCAGAATTTGCCTCCCACTGGCATGGGAATTTCAAAACTGCATGTAACATTTTAAACGTCATATTTCCCTACATGATAAAACTTCCAGGTAGATGATGCTCTCCTTGGCACTAGAGACAAAGGCAGTTCATGTCTGAAAAATTAGGCACATCTTCATACTTCATTCAGCTGCCGGTTTTTGGGTTACATTTGAACGCAGGGGGCGAGAGGAGCGCGGGGAGCGGAGCCCCAACCCGTGTCTGGGCTTCCGACTCCCTCTGCTGCCACGAGCCGGTTACTGCTGCCAGTGCCAGTCGGACCGGGACTGGAGGGATTCGGCACACGCAGCATCAGGGAACACAGCGGCAGGGGAGAGCCGCATTCCCACCGGGAAGTGCTTTCCCAGGGCTGGAAACCATGGGGAATAAAAATCCCCATACCTTAGATTATTTGCCAGAAAGTACTTGGAAGGATGAGGGGGAGAGAAGCAGGGGTCAGTGTCGCGTCTGGCACACGGAGCTGCGATGTCCCTCTGGGTGGCTGCATGACGTGTTGGCCAGCGAGGTCTCAGCCCAGAGAAGCAGAACTCATCTGCAAGGGCATGCACACAACTTCACTGCCAGCTCATCCTTGGCTCCCCTAAGACTGCACCTCGGTGCTCTGACACGGGAGGACATTGGCTTTTAATATGTTTCCTTCCAGAGAGGCAGCAGCTCCCGGTTCCTGCAGAGCTGGAAGAGCCCAGGCACTCCTCCAGGAGCGTACATCTCCCCTCTTCTTGCTGTCGATAGAAACCAGACCCACTCACTCACCAATTAGAAAGCAAATCTAGCTTCTTTGCATTTATTCTACAAACTGCAAACAAAAGTGGAATGAAAACTGATCAACCTAATACTGTCACCTTAGAAAAGGACATCCTCACCAGAAAAACAGTACAGACAAAAATCTGCTGCATACACACAGCTTGCAGACTTGTAGGGACTTTACTTCAGAGCAGCAGCTCTGGGCAAGGTCACTTGGTGAAATGTGAATAAAACTTCTTGTTTTACTTAGAAAGCACAGGGATGTCTCTCAAGAACCACTTCACAAAGTGTTTCCCTGCAGGGTGTGCAGCTCCTCTGGAATGACATAGGAGCCACTCGTGGGGCAAAGCCTGCAGAGATGTATGACTTCTGTATGGTAGTAATTACAGAGACTTTGGAGATGGAATCAAATCTGAAAAAAAAAAATCTATTTAAGACTTCTTTTGATCTGCTGAGTCTGAGAGTGCCCTTCTACTTTAACTGTGTCCATGCCATCAGCATTCCTGGAGGCAAAAGAAGCACTGTTGTCTCTGTGTGCACCACAGAGAACTGAGAGAAAGAGGATGTAAGGACAGGCTCCTGAACTGCCTCCTGAATTGCTGAGTAGCATCCAAAAAGCCCAAGTCTCCATCCTTTGGAACACTAGATGTCTCCACAGAACGTGTCTCTGCAGCACCCAGAGCTCAGCTCTCAAGTCCTGCATGGCCTTCTAACAAAGCACGTTATGTGAGGGGTGCAGGGGTTTCTTTAGCATCAAGGTGGCAACAGGTCAAATTTCCTATTAAGAACAGGGCTCCTTCAAGAGCAGAGGGGCATATCATGGTCTTGTATGTTCATCTCTTCCTCCATCTCTTTGTACCCCTGAGCAAACATTTGCATCCAGCCTTCAGCAACATGCTGCCCACAACTGACTGAGCCCACATCTTACCTGTTGTTGTAGTATCTTTGCTGTGTCATCCAGAACTGACCTTGGGAAAGAGATCTTATGTATATTCATAAGTCCATTTAATTTCATCATTAGTTCTTCTGTATACCCAATTTATCACCATAACTATGTCAAAGAGTGAAGCATGCAATTTCCTTACCAATATAATGTTGGTGTAGTGAGAAAACATCAGTGGAACGATTACTAATGTGGTGTTCTGCCTTCCTGACTCCCCACCTGGGGATAGCTCCAGAGAAGGAAGGTTTTCTTTCTCAGCCATGCCAGTCTATTAAACTGTTAAACTTAATGAAGTTGTTGCTCCACCAATTACTCTGTTTATAACTTAAACATATGAATAAGTCCGGGCTGGGCTTGAAGTGGAATACTTCACAGAAGTATCTTTATTAAAAAATTAGAAAAGTGTTGAGAGAGTATTAGCATCATAAATCACAATTTGCGTGTGACAGCATGTCAGCAAGGAACTGATGTATAAACTCCCAGCTGATTCCAAGAGCATCTGGATCAGTGGTTAGCTTAGGTTAGTCCTGCTGACAGAAACATGTTGATAAAAGAATAAGATTTATCTTTTGTATAGCTGTCAGTATGCCAATCTTAAAATACTCTGCAAAGCCACAAAATTCCCATGTAACAGACAGAGAAATCCCAGCCTGGAGAGCACAGTGACAAGACTAAAGGCACTCAGCAAGGCGGTAGCAGAGCTGAGCCCAACTCCCATGACACTGTTCTGCCCACAACAAAACACAGACTCACATCAGCTCCAAGAGTGACCAGTGGCTTTTGGGTCTCGCTCACTTGTAGCTCTGACTGTACATGTCAAGAACTCTGCAACTGCCACCATGTTCCCAGTCACTTCCCAGCACTTCAGCACTGTTCCCAGCAGCATCCTGATGCTCTAAAGAGCTACATGCCCCTACCCAGCCAGCCCTGCTCCTACTGAGGCCAGTGACAAAAGCTGCTGCTTGGAGTCACGTCGAGGAGAAGGGGGAGCAGCTGCCAGCTGTGTGTGCCTACGTGCAGAGGGACACATTGCAGCTCCTCTGCTGCACACACACAACCAGCACTGGTATGAGAGCACCGGGAAAATGTATTCCTGGGACCTCCTGTGTAAGGCAGGGGCACAACAACCACCAGGACAAATTCAGCCACTTGTTTCAGAGAGCCTTGTAGGATTTATGGCCTCACAGCAGAGGGCAAAGAGCCTGTCCTTAACAGGCAGCAGAGACAATACTGAGATGCCAGGGCAGTGCTCAGAAATACTCCAAGGATCTTCGCTTACCACCCAAGACCTGGAGATGCGCACAGACATCATTAAGAAGATCTCCAAAGGCAGCCTGCAAGAAACAGACACAGAGTTGGTTCACTAAGCAGGCCTGGAAAAGCCCAGAAACACATGGAAAAACAGCACCAGAAGTTATTTACAAGGAAATGCAGAGGAGGACAAAGGACAAAGCAGAGGAGGAAAATCTGGTGTTAAAAAAATGCACCACAAATGCTTTACTTCTGAATGGTAAAGGGCAGAGTATATCAGCAAATGACAGTGGTCACCAACAGTAATTACTACAAAAAATCATTATGTCAAAGCTTCAGGAAAGAGGGGGGGGAAGAATTAATACTGATTTGAAGTGATACGAAATCAGAAAAAAGCAGATGATAAACAAGCAAAGAGACTGATGGTAAGCAGGGTAAGTTCCCAGGCATTTCTCAGCATCACACAGAAAACAACCAAACCTGCAATTAGGCAAAGCAAAATTAAAGCTTGGCAGGATCCAAATACCCCTGAGGAGATTCTAAATTACACACAAGATGTTCAGACCTTCTGAAAGTACCTTCTTTGGCAGCACAGGAGACAAATGGATATATCACCATCAGTGAGAGGGGCCTGGAGAGGTGTCCCCACGTGCTACATAGCTGCCTGAGAGACAGCTGCCACACGGCACCAAGTGAGCAGTTGAGTCCCAGATCTGGGACATGATAAGCTTGAAATGGGAAGAAGAAGCTGCCATTGGTATTGGATATAGCAGCTTCAGTAAAATCGTGTAATTTTGTAATCCAAGTGAGGCCAGACTTGGGATGAAATATTCATATAATGAAAACATGGGCAGAATGAAAACATGGGCAGAATAAAAACATGAGACCAAAGCAGACTATATCTCCAACCTCCTCACATCCAAGGTGCTAAAACGCTCCAGTCTTCGAGCACATGAGCAGTCAGCAGGTACCTCCCTGACTACACAGCATGTTAAGAGAAAACATAATAAGAGCAACACAACAAATGCCAAAGGAAGCTCAAAGAAGTCTCCAGCCATGGCACAGTTATCATGGCAGCAAATGAGCTGTGCACTTGAACAGACCCAAGCAAGCTAAATAGTGCACTAAAAAACCTCCATCCAAGTGTCTACCACGAAGGAAACCTTACCTGACTTGGCAAAAGGGAAAAAAAGATATCCCCAGTGATGGATGGCAATGTCGGAGATCAGCATGAGCTACTAGGCAATGAAAGTGGACTCCTTGCCTTGTTCTGAGTACCAGTATCTAAGTACAGATGGCTGAGACTGTCATTTGGGATCAAAAGTAGAGATGCCGCCAGCAAGACACACTAACAAGACTCTCAGGGATCCATGTCACTGCTGATGACATTTAGGGGTAGAGATGAGCAGACAGCTTGCTGGAAACTGTGACAGTTAAAGGGTACCACTGGCTTTGTCAGCCAAAATAATAGGAAAGCAATTGGGCCCATTTGACAATAGCAAGCTGAAACTGTGTTGCTGCACTCTTCACTTGGTGATCTTCCAAGAGCAGCCTGGGAGAAGTTCAAACCAGGGCAAATCCACTCAAGGGGAAACCAGCTGCTAACCATGGCTGGATGCCCCAAAACACCCTCAGCACTTGCTACTCAATGGGGCACACGGATGAGAAACTTGCTCAGATCAGTCTTGTGAGTAATCCCTGTTGAAACCAAGCCTGACTGGTCCCACAAAAAGTGTGCCTTTGCCACACTTCCCAGGATATTGCACCAGATGTCTTTTAGCAGTACTCAGCCCTCTCCCCGCTGCTGGTAGCCCTGGCACAGGCAGCCTGGTTTCATCACTAAGCCTTACTTGCTGTACCATGGCCTGACCACCAGCAATTAGTCCCTGAGGAAAGGGTTTATTCCACTTGCAGCTGACTCCCTGCCAGGCCCATCAATGCTTCAGACCAGGGATGCTCAGGACCTTACTAGCACCCTCATGAGTGTTAATCTGAGGAGAGCCAGCCCTGGCACCATGGTATTAGAGGTTCCTATGTGCCACATGAGCAATGGGGTACCACCTCTTAAAGGCTGGGCCTGTCACCTGTAAGAGATGGTTTTGGCAGCAGCAGGCAAAGCACTTGAAGATTAACCCCTGCTCAGGGGCACTCCCCATGGAAGTACAGGGAATTTTGCCCTGTGGGTGGAAACACACCTTTGAAGACAAAAAACAAAGTCCTCCATGGAGCTTTGTTGGTCCTATGTCCAGTATCCTCCTGAAGTCACCTGCTGTTGTTTTCCAGGCCCATAAGTGGAAGAACATGTCAAGTGGCAGGAGCCACAATACAGCTCAGAGAAGATTGCCAAAACAGCCTGCAGAAGGGGGGAGCTCCCAGCCCTGCACCACAGAAGGGACAAGGGGAGACCTGAGGATAGGGGGAGTCAGTGAAGCCCCCTCAGCATCCCAGCAGAAGGGGACATCACTGGGTGCCAGTGAGCAGAGAAACCCCCCCATACCAGCTCCCTGTCTGCTTCTCCTCCTTCCCCACAGTGTGGAGCTGCACTGTGCCTGTTTTTTGGCAGCTTTGCAGCACTGGATGCAGCTGCCCCAGTCTGTACCCCATTTCTCAGCAGTGTGAATTGATCTGCAGAAGCCAGAGGCATCTGATCTCTCCAGCTAGCCAGAAAGCACAGGTCAGAGCCTGAGCTGGTTGTTTCTTCAGCTGAAGGAAGGCAGGTGACAGGAGATGTGCCATAAAACTCATCTGTGCAGTGCTACACCAGCAGTGCCCTCAGTGCACGCTCAGACAGGCAGAGGGAGTCTATGCAGCAACATCAGCACTTTGGGGCATAGAATTCTGGGGTTTTTTTTCTCGTTCTGGGAACCTTAAAGCTGGATTTACAGTATTGTCAAATCACAGTACACAAGAGGTCTGAAGAACTGGGAAGTTTGCAGTCCCTGCTGGGAAGATGGGTATGTTGTCAGCCCAGTGAACAAATTACAGTCAAACACCTGCTAAAGCAGAGTTGCTCACGAACTGTATTTGCACTTTAACCCTGGTAGCACCTTTGCAATGTTTTCCCATTAAAATTCTTTAGTTAAGCACTGATTGCATTATTCTGAAATAAATCTTGGAGTTCAGGGCTGTTTAATATCAAAGGTTGGATTTGGATCCAAGCTGTGCATGTATAACCACACCAGCCTCATCTGAGCTGATTCTGCTCCTCACCCACATGCTGAAGACAGTAATCTGCATCCCCCACCACATCTGCCATGTGCACTCTGTGCTGGTGCTCGACGTGACTAGAAGCCCAGAAAAATCTCTTACTGATGCAGCTCAGCTGAAACCACAGTGATACAACTTCAGAGATGACAGTCTACCTTAGCTGGGCTGGTACAGCAGAGTAAATGCATGGCCACCAGGACCACCTACTAACACTGCAAGGGGGGAAGAGCTCAGTGACATGGGATCTCCTGGAATGGAATCACTGCCAGCCAGCTCCAACTGGGCACAGCACCCAGGTCCCATCCAGGGCTAGGGGGAAAGACCAGGCCTCTGAGACTCAGTCCTGGGAGAGAATCCACCCTGACCACCAAGGGAAACCCACAGTTCTTAGAAGACTTCACCAGGGCTCACTCATGGCTGCAGGCAAGGTTTCAAGACAGCCTGAACTTTAAAGCACCCGCCTGAGTGTCCATAGGATGAGGCAGAAGGCCTTAGAAAGGTTGGAGCATTCGCTCTCTAAACTCCCAATCATCCAATACAGATTTTACTTTGCTCAGAGCCCTTCAAAGGCTTTCCTGGCCAGTTAGCTATCTGCACCAGAGGGAGAATTAGTGTTTTAGCAAGATCCTCACTTGTTTGGGGTGCTTTTGTAACACTGAGGGAACTTTTGTTCCTTGAGAGCTTTTATCCCTTACCAGAAATAGTCTATTCTTATCCCTTAATAGAAAAGTTTGCAAACCAAACAACACCCAGTTTTGGTGCCTCAGTTCATTTTTTGAAACTGACTCTCCATGGACCGTGTGAAGACAAATGAGTTGCAGGTATGAGAGGGGAAGCAAAAATTCCAAATGTGTGACATTCTCGGGTCCTTCCAATGAAGTTAAATTGGGAAGTTTGCAACTTCTTTCAACTCCTTGTGTTGAGTAATGGGAAGTAATGCTTTCCTGAATTCAGGATTATTAAATGCCAGATTCTTCTGTGCCTTCACAGAAAAGAAGTTTTTGTGCTGCAGGTAATCACTACCATGGAGAAATCATTCCAGCAAGGAGCCACAGCTTCTGCCTTCTGGCAGATGCCAAGCAGTGCCACCAATTGCTGCAGCAGCTGCTCCCAACAGCCCCCTGCAAGAGCACAGACATCAAGGCCTCTTGGCTCTGGCTACCCTCTGGTAGAAAAGTCCACAGGGGCACAAGTCTTTGGGGCAGGAGACGGGCACCACTCCTGCCAGGACTTGGGGCAGTGGCAGGTCTCCTTCAGCAGGGACTTGCCAGACCTGCCACTTTCGGTGTAGCCCTGGCCAAAGGGGTCAGAACAGCATTCGTGCCCTTGCCCACGTATTTGCTTCTCTGTGCAACACCTCCTGTGTTTGTGATGGCCACCAGCCAGGATTTCTCCCAAGGAGGCCATGCCAGCTTCTGTGCAGGCCCCGTGCCCTTCCCGCTGCGGCTGCGTCAGCAGCCAAGGGGGCTCTTTCTGCTGCCATGAGCAGGCACAGGAGGGGAGTGTTTGCTCCTTTTTGGAGACGTTCCTAAAGTTCACGTCCCGCTGTCTGAGACACTTTAGGGAATGGATTCCTTGCAAACTGGAGCAGGTTGGCTGGGCTGGGGGAGGCCCCTGGGCACGTGGCAGTGTGTCACAGGGCCCTTTGTGACACGGTGGTCATCGACAATGGGATGGGGCAGTGTGTCCAAGGGCCCTTTGTGACACGTCCTGATATAGGTGTTTGGTGACAACGCAGCCACGCCACTGTGCTCGGAGCACGCGTCTGGACAGGACGGGACAGAGCGGTGCTGTGAGGAGTTTCCTTGCAGCCAACTCGTTCCTCACTGACCCGAAGCATTTCCGAGGATTTTTCTTCTATCAAGATCTCTCGAGGCCAGACCACAGGAGCTGGTGACCCGGAGCTTCTCCGAGGCACCACCACTCCTGGTGGAAGGCGCCCTCGAGGACAGGTCACGGGAGTTGGTGACCCAGAGCTTCTCTGGGGCATCATCACTCCCTGTGGAAGGTGTCCTTGAGGCAAGACCACAGGAC